GCTTCCTTCTGGAAAGGGGACATGACGTGGTCATGAGGACCCAAGAGAAATGTCCTGTGGCCCCATTATCCTGTTGCTTCCCCTTCAGATCGAACTGTTGGTCGTTTCAGATTGTTCCATTTTCGTGACAGGAAGCATGTAAATTAAAAATCACACAGTTGAGTTCCCTGGAGGAATCCCAGTTCATACAGACGAAAAGTATAAGAATGGGTGCCGGGGGGGTGGCGGGTGAGGGGGCAGCGGGGAGTTAGTGTTCAGTGGGGTTTCAGTGTGGGAAGGTGAGAAGGTTCTGGAGATGAGAAGGTTCTGGAGATGGACGGTGGGGCTAGTTTCACAACGCTGCGGACGTCCGTAGTGAGTGGTCCACCACAGAGGTGGCGGTAGTCAATAAGGCATTCCGTTCCCCGCACCGAAGACGAGAGACCAGGAGATGGACAGAGTGTCAGTTTGACTTGCTTGTCTGCTGTGCAGAACGCTGTCCTGCCCCCGAGGAGAGCGCGGACCGACGGACGGCCGCCCGCGCTCAGGGACGCACAGGCTTGCCCAGCTTTTGTCTTCCGGCAAGAAGCGCGGTTTCATCTTCGAACCAGGGCGGGCGTGGGGGCCCGAGACGTGGGGACGCTGCCGCCAGGGCTCCTCCTGTCCATGCGGTGCCTCCGGCTGTTACCATGACGAGGGCGACGGGGCGCCTTCTTCAGTCTGTGCTCGGAGACAGCCTCAGAAGGCGGCAGATGACCGGGGAGGCGGAGTGTCCTCGACGAGGCTCACACCACGCGTGCCGTATGGGCCCCCCCACTGCCGTGTGCCGCTGCTGCAGTTGAGCCCCTCCGTGCCACGAGCAGCAGCGCGTGTCCTCCCGTGTCGCCGCCCGTGGAGCCCTGGGCGGAAAGCCGCGCCGTGTCCTCTCGGCGTCCTGTGGGATTCCGGTCTGGGCCTGCAGCGGGACAGGGAGCGTCACTTCCACGCTCGCGAGTGGACGTTGCTGAGGTCGGTCTGAAGTGAAGCCATTTCACTCGTGGGCGTCAAAAAAGTAGAGCGCACGTGCCAGCACCACCACCTCCGAGCAGCCGTGCGCCCTGCTGACTGTCGCTGTCCCTCCGTGGCGGCGAGGACAGCCCCACGGCGGCGGGGCGCTGGGGGCCTGGTCGGCGAAGCGGCTGCCTTCTGCTCGGGTCATGCTCCCGGGGCCCTGGGATCGAGCCCCGCATCAGGCCCCCGCTCCTCGAGGAGCCTGCTTCTCCCCCTGCCCCCCACCCCTGCTCATGCTCTCTCTCTCTCAGATAAATACGGACAGTCTTAAAAACCAACCAACCAACCCGAGGAGTTAAAAAGTGGACGAATTAGTGCTGTAAGATTTACAGTCCGTTCAAAGACTGTTCCCATGTCTGTATTGAAACAGTCTGAAAATCTACATGTATGTTGCACTTCCCTGGTGGTTTTTTTCGTTTTTTTTTTTTTTTTTTTTTTTTGCAGCTAAGTTTTATTATTTTTTTATTTACTTATTTTTTAAAGATTTTATTTATTTGAGACAGAGAGCGAGAGAGAGCACAAGCAGGGGCAGAGGGGGAAGTGGACTTACTCCCCGCTGAGCAGGGAGCCCGATGCGGGCTCCATCCAAAGACCCCGGGATCATGACCTGAGCTGAAGGCAGGTGCTTTAACCCACTGAGCCACCCAGCCGTCCCTTTATTATTTTTCTAAAAGATTTATTGATATTTTTAGAGGGAGCACTTGTGCATGTGTGCGTGAGGAGGGGCCAAGGAGAGAGGGGGAGAGGCTGAAACAGACTCTCTGCTGAGCACGAGCTGCCCGTGGGGCTCGATCTCACGTCCCTGAGGTCATGACTGGAGCCAAAATCAAGAGTCGGACGCTGCACCGACTGAGCCCGCCACACTCCCCTGGAATTAGGTTTTAAAAGAAGTGGTCGCGTAAAGACCAGTGAGGAAGTTACTCAGCTGTGGGGGAGGTGCGATCCACTTACCACGACTTCAGAAATTGAACCGCACAGCTGAGGGAGAAGAGTCGGGACAGCAGGACAAGGCTTGCTGTCCACACGACATTTCACGTGGCTCTCTTGCAGGCCGGGGCTGGTTTCTGTGTTCTTCTCTCTGATGCTTACACATCAAAAAGCGTTTAAAAAGGTAACACTGTGGGGGTGCCTCGGTGGCTCAGTGGGTTGGAGCCTCTGCCTTCGGCTCGAGTCGTGATCCCGGGGTCCTGGGATCGAGCCCCGCGTCGGGCTCTCTGCTCAGCGGGGAGCCTGCTTCTCCCCCCTCTCTCTGCCTGCCTCTCTGCCTACTTGTGATCTCTGTCAAATAAATTTAAAAAAAATTTAAAAAGGTAACACTGTGCTGGCAAAAGCTTATGCTGATTTATAAATTTAGAGAGAAATTCGATCCACGATCAGAAAGCGGGAGAGCCAGACCTGAGGTAGTAGTTTTCCTACTTGGGGTAAGAGAGGGTGTGTACAGGAAAGGAGGGGCATCAGCCTAACCAAACGGGCCCACAGCCCCTGGTGTCTCAAGGATGTGGTCGTCTCCTGCGCCAGAGTCCTCTGCGAACATGTGTGCACACACCAGTTTGTGACACGTTCTGTGGGTGGCGAGTGAGAACCGGGCTTTGGGGTGCTGGGACGGTTTCTTCTTAGAAAACAGAAAAGAGGGCCCCGGGGTTAAGGAACTACCTTTGGCTCAGGTCATGATCCTGGGATCGAGTCCCACATTGGGCTCCCAGCTCTGCAGGGAGTCTGCTTCTCCCTCTGACCTTCTCCCCTCTCATGCTCTTGCTCTCTCTCTCTCCCAAATAAATGAATAAAATCTTTTAAAACAAACCAAAAAACCAAAAAACAAAAACAAAAACAATCTGGAGGCTGAGAGAAGAACTCCGGATTTTATTTTGTAATGAAACTCCTGACAGCTTTGTGGAAAGTGTTTCCATAGGCTCTGTAAAAAAGCCACCTCCCGTGGTGCATTTTCAGCGACGGCTTGCGTGGCTGTGTCGTTAAGCATCACCTGCCAGACGGCCCCACCTTGCCCCACATCTCTGTAAATGCGGTTCCTGTCAGACACAGAACGCTGATTTTTCTCTTCTCCAGAGAAAAAACAGCAGCAGTTTTGCAATTCGGAGCATTTGGCGACATCTGGAGACGTTTTTGATCGTCACAACTCTAGGGGGTGTGCGAGGTGGTGCTGGCCTCTGATGGGGGGAGGCCAGGGAGGCTGTGGCAGGGAGGCTGCCCGGCATCCTCCAGTGCCTGGGACGGCCCCAGAACAGAGGATCATCTGGCCCCCAGCGTCAGAAGTGCCGACACCACGAGCCTGTTGGATTTTCCTTCTCTCCAAGCACCCCACATGAGCAAATATGGAGAACGGAGCGAGGGGTGGTGTCTGAGGCATTTCAGGCTGCTGTGACAGCACAGCACGGACCAGGCACGTTCACCAATACGTGTGTCCTTCTCGCAACTCTGGAGGCTGGAAGTCTGAGATCAGGGCGCTGGCCGATGTGGTGTCTGGTGAGGATCCGCTTCCCGTTTCCTAGATGGGCGTCTGCGCCTTGTGCCCTCACTCGGCAGAGAGACCAAGAGCTCTACTTTTTCTAGAGCGCTTGTAGGACTGACGTGCAAAGAGCTTCCTGCAGGCTGTCCCCAGTTCTGTGGGCAGTTCACACGATGACAGCCTTCCTCTTCAAAGCCTGCAGCAGAGTGTCTCCCTCCAGGCCACTAAGAAAGAGTCTTACATGCTATAACAAGAGTTAGGAGAATGACATGTGGTCACCCTTGCCGTAGGACATAACCTAAGGAGTAGAGTGACATCCCTGTCCTTTGATGTGTTCCGTGGGGGTAGAAGTGAGTCACAGGTATTGCCCACACATGGGGAGGGGATCTTAGCAGGGTGGGGCTCACTGCGTGTGTCCCTTTCAACAGCCTTTAGGGTGCATCCTTGAAGGTCTTCCTTGCCCTTTCATCTTTATTCTAAATAAACACAAAGTTAGTTCTCATTTAATGATAAACGTTATGGCCCCAGTAAAATGTATGATGTGGAAATGTATGAAATTTCATACACTGCAGATGTATGGTGTGGACCGTGAAGACCGTTCCCCAGCAGCCAGGGACATTTGGGGTTGACGACCACTGAAAGGGGTCCTGGCCTTTCTTGGCTTTGGCTCGTCTTGGCGTGAGTGCTCTGAGAAGAGCTCTGCCGCTTGGTTGACTTCTCTCCTCTCTGGCCTTGCTTGCTCAGATGCTAACGGGGATCGTGGGGGAGAAAATCAGATTCTCTCTTCGGTTGCTCCTTGTCTGTGCTCTGTCTTTCTGAGACCTGGCTTCTTTATGGAAATGATGTCGAGGTGATGCGCACTCTTCTCCCTCGTGGGTTTTCCTCCTCGGTGCTGCCTACAGCCTATAGGTACGGTGACCATCAGGTTTATCGTTGAAACTTCATGAGTGAAAGGTATGAAAATTCATCATTTTCCAGAACAGCATATGCAGTCTGGTCCATGTAATCACCTGCCTTAGGGGTGTCGACGTGGCGTGACGTGACGTGACCTCTGGTCTACTCACGAATCTTCTCTGGGAAAGTGTTTAGTGTCGTACCCACCCGAGCCCGTCAAGAGTGCGCCTCAGGATTCGTTCGTGCTCGTTACCAAGTATGTTGTCATCCAGTGCCTCCATGATTTTTGTCGAATAAAAGGTTGGGTTTTGTTTTCATTTTCCGTTGTTCCTGAATTTGTCATTAGTGCGGTTTATCCTTGACCCTATCTCAGTCTTATAAAATACACGAATGCCTTTTCCTCTTCTTATTTTTTTGAAATTTTTCTCTTGGATCTATTTTTTTATACATGAAAAAAATGCATATATATGTATGTATTACAAAATTAAGATTACTTTCATAGTTAGACCATCATGGCTGTGATTTTTTTTTCAGTCGTCTCAAAAAAAAAAAGAATGCAGAATACAGGCAGTGTTTCAAAACCGTCTTCCCACTTTTTCTTGTCGTCTCACAGAGGGTGGCTCCCACATCCTACAGACCTCATCGCCGCGAGGTGAGGCTAAGATGAGCATAACCAGTGACGAGGTGAACTTCCTGGTGTATCGCTATCTCCAGGAGTCAGGTAAGAGGCTTGGGTTTCGGTTAGTAGCAAACGCACCTGCAGCGTGGTGCGTGCAGAAGCACCCACCGTGGATCGAAAGAAAAGCCAGGCTAGAGAAGGAGAAGAGCAGATGGCATTTCTCATTAAGAGAGCTGGAGGAGAGAAGGTTCTGGGGCTGCCCTGTTTCTGGGGTGGGACGGGGCGTGTGTTCTTTCTTCTCTTGATCTCTCTGCCCAGATGAGGTCAGATGGCAGTAAAGGTCAAGAGCAGTTGGGATAAACATGGAAAGGGCATTAACGGAGGGGCTGGTGTGTCTTTGTGGTGTCGTGTTTATGCGAACCTCTCGGACTGAAGACCACGGATCTTTTGAGCTCCTAAACCACACCCCACCATGGGCCCATGGCCATTTCCTGAAACATAGCAGTAGTTCTGGTCTCCTCCAGCACTTCTGATTATGACCAAGACGTCACTTTACAGTAAGCAGTGTACAGGCCAGACCTGTGCTCTCTGTCAACGTTACGGACCTTGTGAGTAGCAGCTGGTACCCTCAGGGGCCGGGGGAGGGGGCTGACAAGAGCCTGAGGCCCGGGGTCTGGCCGGACTTTGTCACAGGACAGAGACAGCCCTCTGAGGAGTCCTTGGACGCCTGCGAGCCTGGATGCGTGCGTTAGACAGTGTCGCAGCTGCCCCCCACGGCGCGGCCTCCACACAGTTGAGTGGACTGCTTGTGGGTGCTTTCTTAAATTCGCAAGACTCTTCTTTTCGAATGAACGTTGTTAGATTTTTAATTAATTTCTAAAGTGAATATTGTCTTTAAACTTGGAAAGCTTTAGAATATTTCTTTTGAGATGCACAAAACGACATTCATGAGAAACATGGTTGTCACCATCTACCCGCCCAAGCTAAGAACTACCCCACTTCCAGGGCCCACGGGACGCCCGTGTTCGACTCTGCGGTGCCGTCCCCTCTTTCCAGTGCTGACTGCCTGCCCGGGTTTGGTGTTTGTTGTCCCCACATACTTACTGCACACACGGTGTCTTCCTGAGCCGGGCAGGCCCTGGCGTGTTAGTTCACCACGGCACTGTAACCAAGGGGGCAGACTGGGCGGCCCAGACGGAGATGGTTGTCTCACCGTGCGGGAGGACTGACACCCAGATTCCAGGTGTGGGCGGTGTGAGTGGCTTCTGAGGCCAGGAAGGTGTCTGTCCCGTGCCTGTCTCCCGGCTTGTGGAATGGTGCCCGCCGTCTCTGCTGTTCATTGGCTTGTGGAAGCATCACGTCTGTGTCAGCCCTCGTTGCCACGCGGCCTCCTCCCCATGTGCGTCTGCTTCTACCCCTGTCCGAACGTGTCCCGTTTCTCCTTGGATTAAGGCCTCACCAGACTCTGGTATAACTTGGTCTTAACGCATTAGATCTGCACTGAGACCCCCGTTTCCAAATGAAGCCACTTTCTGAGCTGTGCCCGGGGCCTAGGACTTAGGGATTTGGGGCACGACACAGTTCAACCCACAGCCATTGGCCTTGTGCGTTATTTAAACTTTCTATGCTTGGTATCCTATTGTTTATGTTCTGCAACTTGATTTTTCAAGAAGTGAACCAGTTTCTGGGCCTTTCTACCTTCTGGAGACACACGGACAAGACTGAGGGGAAACCAGCTTGTGAGCCCCTGGGTCTGGGCTCTTCCAGAGTCAGCCTGGAAGGCTTAGCAGGGCAGAGGTTCCGTCCAGACCACACAGCTCAGGCTCAGACCCTTGAACAAGTTCTTGACCCCACTGGAGCCTCTCCTTCCCTGCAAATAAAAAATTAAAATGGTTATCCTGGGCAAAAGTCATGAGCACTGGACATGTGTTATAGACAAACGTCTCCCCGTCTGATCCTGGATCTCTGTCCCTGGGGAACCCCAGGTAGCATTTCTCATGGGAAGTGTGCGTTCTTCCTCCATATATCTTAGGTCACTCAGATCGGCTGTTGCCCGCATAGTATGAGAGAAATTGATAAAACGTGTATGACCCCAGCCCTGTGGGTCTGGGGAGTCACTGGCATCTGTCACTCACCCTGAAGAGTCGGGGGAACTGCCCGCTGTCCTGTGGACTTTCAGCATTGAATTTGAGAGCCCTTTCTGTGTACACCCTTCAGTACGAAGATAGGATGGAGGCAAAAACATGGTCAGAATGTGTGCGGAACTCACAGGCTGAACGTCAGGATAAATAAGTGATGTGGAAACTGTGTGCCTAGCCCGGGGGGGGGGTGCAGTCCCTGGGGCTTGAGGCCCAGGGCAAGGGCACCGCTGTCCTCTTTGAATAAATACGGAGACCATCCGTCCCCCAGGAAGGCCACACTTCCTTTTGTCCTGTTTGTTTACGCTTGGCTCCTCTGTCACCAGGCAGCTGAGGAGGGGAGTCTGGGGACAGGAGAATAGGATTTCACCGGTGTGGGTTTTCTACGTGCGAACTCCGGTCCCGTCGGTCCAAGTCCTTTCATACACGTGTGGTGTGCGTCTTCCAGAAAGCCAGGCCTGCCCTTTCCTCTGAGGAGTGCGTGAGTCCTAGAGTGGACTGGAGGCCCCCACAAGGACGTGTTCAAAAGCAAGCGGAGAAATACCAAGAGGTCTTTTTGGGGTCATTGTCTGTGTTTTTCTCAAACCTTCAAGTTTCGGTTTGGCACATCTCTCTTGAGTGCCCACCCAGTGCAAAGAGCGTCTTCTCGGCCTGTCACTGTCTCCTTTCTAGCTCCGGGGGTTGGGGGTGGGTGCGGAGAAGACACACATTCCTCCATCGGGCCTCCCCTTCAGGCATCTCTGCTCTCCCCCGCATACCTACAGCCGCTCCTCGGAAATAAGCCCCGTGTCCCTGTAGGTGACTCATTCTTCAGCGCCTCCCCATCTGGCTTTCTCTGCCAGAAGGCACCAGGAGGTTCTCTCTTGGCAAGGCCTGTGCAGCAGGCCCCATCCGTATGCCTTGTGTGGTGCGGAGGAGAGAGGGAGGGAGGGAAGGAGGGAGGGGGTGATGGGCTGGGGATGGCCTTGCGGGAGGGAGACAGCTGGTTCTCTGGTCCATGTGCTCTTTGCTTTGGTGGTCGGGGACAGCCCCCAGAAAGTTCCAGCCCACCTGCTCGTGGGCAGTGAGGAGCAAGTTCCCTGGAACCCCGGGTGTTCCTGGTCTGGCCACCTGAGCTAGAGGCGAGAGCCTGCCTTCTCCGTGCTGGGCCGTAGATGCCATCCCTGGCTGTCCTGTCTTCAGCACCTTCCATCCTCATCCCATTCCCATATCATCTATCGGCGCGGATGCCTGGAGTCCCCACAGGAACCTTTCTCTCCTCGAGAGTGGGAAGCCGTGTGTTGAAGAGGACACCTTCCTGGGTGGGAGAATCCAGGTCACACGTCTACAGACTGGGGAAAGAGCCTCAAAAGCGGGTTTGCCCCCTTACTCTGCCCGCGAGCGGCAGCCTCGAGATCATCGTAGGTTCTTCTCTCTGGCCCTCCCCCAGAAGTGCGGCAGTAGATAGTACACCCAGACGTGAACCCCGCAGCCTGCAAGGAAGGTGTTTCTTTTGGGACCATCGTTAGTTGTGTGAAGCCGGGGCCTTGCCCCTACATGCGCTTGCCGGCTGCCAGGGACTAGTGAGCCCGCCTGGTCCTGGCGTCACAGCGTTCTAGAAGAGGACATGCCAGTCGGCGAGCGAGGCTTGGCAGCGAGGCGGGAGGAACCTGGAAGTGCCGGCTCCGGCACCAGAGCGGCCGAGGTGGCCTGCTTCGGAGCTGTGTCAGTCCAGCCTCGAGGGTTAAGGCTTGACTGGCCTCTGCCTTATGGGACGCCCCCCACCCAGCCCACCTCACCATCGCAGGGAGCAGGATGGAGGAATGGGCTGCAGCCTGCACGGGCTGGTGTGAGCAGCTCCTGCAAAGACTGGGTGAGTGGCCAGTTGCTTGTCTTGCTTTTCTCTGAACGTAGCTTGGGGGGCTGACGCCCCTTCCAGCTCCGCGTGAAGAAGGGGGAGCATCCGTGAGTCCCTGCGAGTCTGAGTGATTCCTCCGGGGCTTCGTCCCCAGAGCCAGACTACGAGGGAGAGTCCTCCCAGACCCAGCGGGCGAGGGAGTCAGTGGGCACGAGGCGCTGCTGGAAGGCGGCCCTACCACAAGCAGGGAGGGCGGCCGCCTGGGGTTGCCCAGACTCTGCCGGTGAAGGAGCCGAAGTGCTCGGCTTTGGCGGGTTTCTCAGGGAGGGGGGTGTCTGTGTTTCGTCGTGTCTGCCAGGCCAGTCCGTGTCTGCTGGGGGGAGAGATGGATGAAGCTGGGTCATGGTCACGGTTGCGACTGGAGAGGAGAGATGGGCCGGGGGGTTGGAGCCAGATTTTCCACAGCGGTTAAGGGGTGACCGGACTGTTTCTCCGCGGGCTCTCGTTCGGCGTCGTGAGCTGGAGAGGCATTCACGCCGTCGGAGGCGCCCGCAGCCTGTTCTCCGTCGCCGTGTCCTGTTCCGTTTCAAGAGTGTGTAGCCGTGGACGTGTCCGTTCTCCTGTTGAAGAACGTTGGAGTTGTTTCCAGGTTTTGACGATCACGGCTAAAGCTGTTGGAAACATTGGTGAACAGCGGTCCATGGGAGTGTAGGTTTCCGTTGCTCCCGGGGAAGCATCTGGGCGTGGGGTTGCTGGCTGGCGTGGTCAGTGTGGGCTGAAGGTTATCAGAAGCCACTGCTGGCTTCTCCGTGCGTCTGGGCAGCGAGGCCCTTGAGGGAGGACAGGGGTTTGTTGCGACGGCGGGAGCGGCGCTGATCCGTGCCTGTGTCGCGGGGCTGCGTTGGGAAGTGGGCGGAAGGACGGCAGCCCGGCGGGCAGGTCAGCAGGATACTGGTGACGCTTTCCGCTTCCTCTTCGGGTTTAAAATGAGCCTTCGCGGCCTGTCCGGGGTCACGGTTTCCACTGCTGACTTCTGCGCGGAGCTGCTGAGTGATGGGGCATCCATAGACGCACCCTGTCTCCTCGCTCTGCAGCCCGGGGATACGACGGGGCGCCAGGACTGGCCG